GACTCTGTTAACCCTAATTATGTTATTATTTATCATTTTTATTAGTTGACAATGTAAAACAATGTGTTAATTAATCGTGTATGTTAAATTTCAAAAATAACTATCACCACTGTTTATCTTGAAGTTTTCCCATACAAATCGATGTGCCACACCATTTTTTTTTAATCGGCGGTTCGAGCGTGAAAAACGCGCGACAAGCTCAAAAATGATGTGACACCTCGATTCGTATGAGATTTTTACAAAAAATACAACTTGAGTATTTATTTTTACATTTAAGATAATGTTCTAAAAATAAATTGAAAAAACCCAGATTTTGAAGGTAGAAAAAAATTTTCAAAAAAATTATCATTGGGTCATCACACTGAGTACGCATATACTAGTTTCCTCATTCATTTCAGAAACACCCTGTATACCGATCTAATAATCTATATGGATAATTGGCTAACTATAATACTATAAGGAATGTCCTGCGAGGTTGCGAGGATTTACCCATTGTGATATCTCCTGAGATAATAAATATACCATAAATCTGTTTTTTTATTATCAGACTCACAGACACAAGGACTACACACATTTTATTTTTTATTTAATTACATATTTTGGTAAAAAAGTTAAAAAAATTTATTTTTTTATTTTTGAAACAATTCAAAGTAGCCATTTTATAGGGTTTATTTTTGTGAAAATTTGACTTTTCAACATTTTATTTTCATTATTCTCATGATTTTAGATTCTGAGTGGAGCGAGGAAGCTATTGATTTTACAATGTATTGTTTATTTTTTTTTTTTTTTAATATCCTGTATACAAAATATCTACCAGAAGGAGCGCTTCGATTTCAACATATAGACATATAGTACCTACCTTATCTTTTAACAAATTGGATCAAGATGGTACTTAAAAAACCACCGACAAATTAAGAAAAACCTCTAAAAATGGGAATTGTATTTCTAACGCTTTGTTTATCACTATAGAAACGAATAAAAAATAATAATACCTATTATAATATAAAATATCCAACTTATAGGATATAATAAATAATAACAAGGTATATAGATATAACAGAATAGATATTATAATATAATAGATATAAGACATATTATGTACCTACATATCTATGGTATAAAAAAAAAATTGACCTATAATAAATTCCAAATTAATCATATCACATTATCCATTAGGTACCTACTTAAAACGCGTTGTACATCAATAACAAATCGTGATACTATGGCACTATCATAGATATATAGTAGTATACTATATATAAAAAATATGAAACTGTCCGTAAACAGCTCAAAACAAGTCAAAATATTTTGAAAATTGTATCAAGTATAGGAATTGATAAAAAAAACATTCAGTGAAATTTTCATGTATCTGCAGTTATTCGTTTTTGAATCATAACAAAATAAGAAAATCGCTACATGAGTAATCGAGTGAATATCCAATGTTGTAAAAATTTGAACTTCAAACACTCGTTAATATTTAATTTAACTTTCTTATACACATTTTTTTAATTTTTTTTTGATAAAGTTAGACACCTTATGAGTACCTATTCTTGTATTACCAGTGCGATACGTTGTGTGCATGCATAAAAGCAGAAAATGACCAACTTCCGAACTTTAGAAGGATAAAACTTACAAAAATATAATAATTTCTGTAAATTTTTTTTGCATCATCGTTGTGTTCCATTATTTAATTATACAAGTAATGTTTTATAATTTTTATTTGTTTAATTACTAATTTTTGGTACTTATTACTTACCTACTTGGGGACCAATATTTCAAATACTTTTTATAGGTACCCTCTAAGGAGTGTACTGTGGCAATATCTTCTTTTTCCAAAAGAGAACCACTTTTTTTCCCGCAAATAACTAAATAGATATTATTTTTTTTTTTTGAAAATGTTAGTACTAAGAATAATGTTGGTCCATGGACCATGATTAAACCGGTTTGGTGGGTTAGGAAGATATGGGGGCCGTAACTGAAAACAAATTTCGATCGATCCAGTATTTTTTTAATATAGATACTTACTGGACACTCATCGTTTTTACATTCAAAATATAAAAACTTTTTATTCTCATTACTACCGCTTTTACATAAATAAAAAATTATTCTTAAAAAAATAATCAATAAATAATATTCACATCTAAATTTGGAAAAATAAGTTGTTATAGCCACATAAAATTCCTTAAATGGTATAGAAAAATCTATTAAATTAAAAATATTGTCCTTAGCTCTCGAGTATGGACAGTAATATTACTTGAAAATTCTAGAAATCAGAATTCGAATAAATGCATTAGGTACTTATTAAAAGAAAAGTTGGGGAGAGGTGAGCTTGTTTGATGAATCACTCTGTATATTGTATATAGTCATATAGGTATATAGGTACTGTGTAGTGTATACTCATAATTACATAATATTATGGCATTCACGATTCACCGATTCTTCCATATTGTCATCTTGACACTAGACTTCAACCTTGACTTATTGTGATCGACGAGCGACGCAATATTGCACAGAGCGCGTGGACAAAATTCGCAAAACATTTTTACACTCCCAGCAGTATTTATTTGTAATTTAATAACACAATATAAATGTATATTTAGATGATTTTTGTATTCCTTTGTTTATTCCGTTCCACGACCAAAGCGTGATTTCTCTTCTGAATTTTTTTCTTTCTGTTTAGAAAGTCTTGGTTATTTTAATTTTAATTTTACATTATAATGAATAATGATGCATAATATAATATATATTATATATATTATAAACATATTATGTAGGTATGATCCAACCTACTCGTCAACTACTAACTGGTACAGGCGGTACACCTGATTCTATTATGATATTTTTCAAAACAATACAAATATTCAAAATGTTTCGTCCTGTTCAACGCCTTTAAATAAATGTATTGAGCAATTCTAGCTAATACCCAACCCTTTATTCTTTTCTGAAAACAATTAATATATCGTTGGTTCGTGGATTTAACATTGAATTGGGTGGTGGGGGCAGATTTATATTTTTTTTTATAAATTATTAAATTCTAGTGCTTATAATAATATAATGTTTAATATAATACTAGTTTGTACTAAATTAAATGTAATGTTATGATATTATTCAATATAAGACATAAGTGGCTTATCTACGCGTCTATACCTAATACTCATATACGTAGGTTGTATAAAATAAATTTTATTAGTTAACACAATGATTATTTTCAATTGTCGTGTAATTTGTTTTATGTTGACTTCAACATTGTTGCAATTAAATACTGGCGTCTGGCAGTTTATTTTTTAATTGATTAATTAAAAATAGTTTCTTTTCTTTTCGCCTAAAAGTTTAAACTTTGTCTTTTGTGATTCGTAGAATTAAAACGGCTGCAGTAGACTTCACATTTGATTAGTTCTTCTAATTTAGGTGCACTATATTAGTAGGTATTATTTAAGTGCGCACAATATTCCTGCCACGGCCCACCTATAATTAAAGCTGCACCAGTCATCTGTAGACGATGTGACTATTTATTATATTATTCTATTTCCTACAATTCATAATCATCACTATACAGAATATAGTTACTCTCTTTATACTTTATATTATGCTGCTGTCATAAGCCACTAAGCAGTAACTCCATTTTTGTCGAAATCGAGTTTTTGGTGTCTATCGATAGATATTTTAATTCTCTATCGATCCCCGTAATAAAATTTAAGGTTTTTCTCATTAAAAATACACATACATTGATAAGAAAATAAGATAATAGGCAAATTAGCACTATGTCCCAATACTGTTTTATTGTTTCCTGAAAACTATGATTTTGGAGTTACTGCTTAGTGGCTTATGAGTTATGATGGCAGTATGTAGATGCATTTTATGAAGTCACAAAAATTATGAATTCACAAACACAGATTATTGTATTTTGTAGGTATACTTTGTCGAATTTTACTCTAGTATTGAAACAAATGTCTGCACTCGTATAAAAAAAAGTACCTACTTAGATTCAAAAATATTGACTTGGTTTCATAATATATAAAATGAAAATATTATAATATAATAGGAACTACAATTTAATTTGAAATGATAGCGTACGAAACCATGATCACTGATTAGCCATAAATCATAATATCTCTAATTTCAGATCCAGTTATATGAAAACCACTACTAAATAATAATCGAATTATATTTTAGTATTTTACTCTTTACTAATTATTATTAATTAATTAAAAGGACGTGATACCCCATTACGTTGTCTCCGTCTTACAAGTGCATAGGTAACATAGCAAATTGTACGCTCAGCAGAACACGTGTAGCTCCGTTAGTTAAAAAAATTGTGAATTGATCTCTTATACAATTTAAAGACAAGATTATTATCTAGAAAATACCATATTATGCTTTTTATTATATTTTAATTTTAAAGTGAGTTATAAGTATTTTAAGATGTACAAACAATTTACAAGTTTAAAATACCCATAGCTCGCTTTAAAATTAAAATATAATAAAAAGCATATGATATTGCCGAGATAATAATCTTACCTTTACATTTTATAAAAAGTAAATTCACTCTAATTTTTTAACAAACGGAGCTACACGTGTTCTGCTGAGAGTACAATTTGCTATGTTACGCACTTGTAAGACGGGACAAAACATGTGGATATCACGTCCTCTTAAAAGTAGCAATATAAATAACAAAACAAATTTATCAAAATAAATATATATTTATTACAGCTTAAGGGTTTTTTCCAAAATTTCTGTCACTAATAATAGAAGGTATAGGTAAATAATTTATACTGATTCGATAAATAATTTTCATAGAAAATTAATAGCAAATTATTATGTACATGGAAAAATCATTTTGAGAATTCATTTCATTCCAAAAACAAGACGTGTATGATCACCACGAGGAAATGACACCGTGTATACTGAGTAAAATTGTTATTATTAGAAAAGTGATACACTTAAACTAAATTCTTAACAATAAGTACTCAGTTGTGTTTAAGATGTTTATAAATCATGGCTCAGAAGGTGGCTTTGACCTTTTCGAGTCTATTACACATCTGATTGGCATCACGTCCTATTTCTTTACATTTTGAGGAGCATTCTCCCATCCAGCTTGCCTCGCCACTTCTATGAGACTATAAAATAAAAGTTAAACACGTAAAAATTAATTCAATAAAGTATAAATTGCATAGATATTATTTGAAACTTACTTCTTCAAGATCACGTTTCCAAATATTTCGACAGTGACCTGCACAAATAGGACAAGGCCTCTCAAGGGAATATCCACCGCATTCTAAGCAATCTAATGACACGTGGCGTTGCTCCCAGTTGACTCCACAACTATAATCGATCAAAAAAATGACTATCCATTATCCATTTGTTTACATTTTACAACAGAAATTGTCGACATCTAATATTACGTGTTGGTGAACTATTTTAGTTGGTTATTAATTACTATCAATATAATCATGATTAGATAAGTATTCCTTAACCTCACTTATGAATAATCTTGTATTACATTTTCAAATCTAATAATTTGCAAATTTTCATGATTTTTCCGTATTTTGTCAAGATTTGAACTTGCTATTTATAACTATGCTTATAATAAAAAACTGTGACTAAGGATTTTTAATATTATTCAAATCTCGTTGTAAAAATATGGTAGGAGCGTTGTATTAAATTTTCAAGTATTTTTGCTCAACAAAAAAAGTTTTATTGACATTCATAGAAATAAAAACTAATAAAATTGGAAAATGACAATGTCTTAACTTTGACATAATAGAAAATCTATATTGGTAAGATTATTAATAAAAATGTATTGGCTTTTAGAGTATTAAAAAATAAAAACTAGTACATACTAGTTGTATTAATGTATTATATAAGTACATACCGGAAACAATATTTAAAAACTTCTTTGAGCTCTTCTAGAGTTACTGCCTGTTCAAGATCACTGACTAGATCCATGTTATCGAGCATTTTCTCATTAATGTTCATCAAGCTTTGGTTGTTCATAGTTTGGACACTAGTAACCGACATCTTGTTGTTAGTATTCTCAACTAAAATAAAACAAAAACTATTGTTATGCACTTTTTTTTTATTATTTTCTCAACTGTATATATATAAATTAAATGTTTTATAGGTAATTAACTTTCTTTTTTTATTATTGAATTTAAGTATCGGAAACTATGGCCATTACCATTTTGAAGGGGGGTTACGGTTGTGGAGAAACACGTGTATGTTGGGCGAGAATTCGTCACTAAAAACCTAAAAACTCGGGTGGTCACCCATCCCGGAACTAGCGACGCCGGTCGATGCTTATGTTATGTTATGTTATAACTTATGACTTATATTCTAATATGCAACGACAAAAAAACTCTATATCTGCGTACCTAGGTATTGTAATATATTATGTATTATTATAAATCACGTCCAACTTTAATTTCTATAAATCAGAATAACACAACATTTTTGCCATACCATCAGCGCAGTGACTTCAATGTGCCACAGATAAAATCTAAGTAATAAAATCAGAAATAAAACACATCGCTGACCTTTTCATAAAATATACCTACACTAAATAATATATCAATACCATTAGGGAATATTTGAAAAATATCCGATGATAATCATCGTCTTGCATTCCATAGAACATTATTGTAACGTTTACAAATCTAAAATTGTATAGATTTAAGTGGAAGACGACTGCAGGGCCACCATAATTGGTAACTACATATTTTAACATGCAACGATGAAGCCGATTAAGGGTTGTATACAATTAGTAGGTATACAACCGATAAAACTGAACAGTTTATATTAAATTAATCTTTAACCGTTGCGACGTTGCGTGCGGTACCGCAAATGGGGAACACAAATTTGGGTTTCCTAGATCGATCGTTGATATTTTATAGTGCAGGACACAATTCGTATATTATGCTATAATATACAATTATATATTATAAATATAATATTATGTTTGAGTGTTTTGTTTTTAATATTTGCACGCGAGACGCGTATATAGTTGACTGGTTTTGTGACCAGTAATGATGACAATGACGTTATATTGTTGCGGGAAGTTTTTTACTCGGTATTCCAGAATCTAAAAAACTATACTAAGGATAACTATTAATAGTAAAATCTTGAACAACCTTCAAGTCACATATTACCTAATACCTATAAAATTATTTTATTCAATCTCGATGAAATGCAAAAGTATATCCTTTTATAAATTGAGCATTTTAAATAATTCCAACTTATGTACTGTGTAATCTAATTATTATTATAATGTAATATAATTTAATGTATATTATATTATATACATTTATAAGGACAACTGGATACAGAACAATAATGGGACGACATTCTATTTTGACCATTTACCCCGGAAAGCATTATAATCCTGAAAAACTGGTCTGTGTGGCCTTCATATTGTTTTAGTGTTTTACATTCGTAGACTACTGTTCGTTTATACAATATGATGATGGCATCTTAATAGGTAAATATTAAAGCAATCAACACAGATAACTATTTGAAATTTGAACTCATATAATAGAAATATAATTTTCTGTATAAATAAGCGATTCTAAAAACATAATCAGTTTGGTAATACTTAATAATACACTGATACTTCGTAATATATTATAAAATTTACAAAATTACAATGCTGGTTGAATGACATTATTTAATTTTGCAAGTTTGTTTTGCAATTCATTGCAATTGTTAAAAAATATCTGAAAAACCGTTCACCCCAATCTCACTTAACACGAACCTAAGTTGTTTAATAGAATAGTAAAATAGAACAATAATTATATAGCCAAGTAGCAAGTAGTACACAATAATTTCTGAATACAAAGCATTTTTTGAAATGTATTGCATTATAATTTAGGAATTATATTTATTACCGTCCTATATAATATTATTCATGCTTCTACACGAGTAATTGAAATTTGAATACCTATTTAATACGAGTGTTTAAGCACGTTAATCAATAAAGTGCATCAAAACACTGATTTGTTTGGTTGATGTATTTTAAAATTTAAGATGACCCATTTTATATTTATATTTTATGTTCCTCAAATTATTTAGTTTTATGGGTCTTGTCAAATGAGACACATGCTTGAAATGGCTTTAGGTGTATCCGTATTCCAGTGACCATGGACAGGCCGACACTGAACGTAACTACCTAATTAATAATTAGTAATAACTAATAAGTAACTAAGTAAGTAATTACACTAAGACATTTCCGCATTTCTAATCAAATGGAAATTGTTGGAATATTTTCTTTCAGTTTTGTTTAGTTGAACAGAAACTATTTCATACAGCAGTTGATAACTTTAAGGTTTAAATCTCTTTTACAATTCGATGAAGTATTTTAATGATTTTCTTTTAAGAAGTTAATTGTTAATACATAACGTGAGGTAAAAAAAAACATGCGGAAATTCAGATCACTAATTTAGACATGGTTTTATACTTTTATAAAGCTGAATAACCTTGGATATGCATATAGTCTGGTTGGTGGTGTTAATGAACAACAACAATATAATATGCAGGTGTCATCTTGTTTGGAAATTATATACTTATGAATTGTTATGGTATGTTTTACCCTAGTGTAATTTATGAAATAAAAATAAAAATTTAACTAGGTATAGCATTTTGTTTTTATGTGGCTGTATCACAATTAGTAAATATTGATTTTAATCAACTCAGATGCAACCTATTGATCAATTCACAATGCTGTATGCTTTAATATTCAATTATATGTATTTTTTATAGGTATATAATACTATTTAGTATTTTCATAATAAAATATGCTATCATAACATTATAATTTATAAAACCAATGAAACAATAACTTTTACGAAGTTACAGGTTACTTTATTCTGAGTTCATAATTTAAGCAAACTTTCTTAAACCTTAATTTTCTATAAAAATCCTAAAATACTAGAAAAAGCTTTTTCCAAAATCTAAAAATGTAAAGAACACAGATTCCAATAAGTTTTAACTGGGATGGGTCTAATGAATAATATTCTCGTCTTTTAATTATAAATGTGCCAGGTACATAGTCAATGTACCTACATTAAGTAAGCATATTCGGCAAATGTGACTAGGTTTTAAATCTGATCACGTTATGAGAAAATATTTTGTTCAACCTTAAAATGCAGTACTGTTTAGTTTATAATATAATCTATAGTTAAGTATTATTATGTTTGTATTGTATGATGTTAAAAAACCCGTTCATGCTATATTTCCTTATAACTCCTACCATTATAACAACTACATATCTGGTTTTTTGTTATACGTCTGAGGAATTCCCAGTAGGTATATTATTATTAGTTCGCAATACATTTTAAAATCTTGGCTGGTGGAATATCTGTAACTGGGAGTTTTTTTGTACGGTACACAAAACTGACCTTCCAAATCGATGATATATTGTATGTATAGAATAGACAGACTTCAAAATGTGTCGGAATGTCGGATTGATGACTTTTTAACGCATAATTAATTGCAGTTTCATACTCTATTTACACTCAAATTATGTTTTATTTCTACCATTAATTGCTTCTTTACTTAGGTGTCTACTGTCCATAAGATAGAGATATATTGACAAATACTACGAATATACAAGATAGGTACCTATAGTTGTATTTATTTCTTTTTTGAATAAAACAATATTGAACCTTTTCAGTATTTCACACAAAATATTGAAGCGTTTGTTCACTTTTATCAATTTTATTACTTATTTTGATTTATGTTACGTAAATTAAATTATTCGCTACTGATATAGTAGGTATGCCCCTATAATTTATTATCTTCAATAATCTAAGAGATTTATAAATTTAAATTTATTGCGAGTGTTTTAACTAACTTTTATAATAAAATAAGCATTGTGATAATTAAAATTAAAACTATAGCCTATAGGAAGTAAATATTGGAATGATATATTATATTTATAATTTATATGTTATGCATTGCTGATGAGATACGCAAGGTTACGTTCTTAACTTGAAATAACTGGGTTTGATATATTATTCTGGGCTTGTAAATAATATGATTCCTTTAAAGCAGATACATAATATTATCTATACATTTACCTATGCTATTATATTTTGATGATTTTTAAATTAGTCAATAGTCGTGTCATTGAACGAAAAACGTTCTTCGTTATTTTATGGAATCAATGTCAAACAAAATTTCATTCGATTTGACACGTTTGTTTGGCAGTGAAAACATAATATGGTAGTACAACAACTGTAGTAGGAGTAGGATACTATACTATACTATACTATAGGCTATATTTTTAATTCTATAAATTCGTACCTATATAAGATATACCAACTGGACAATATTATAATTGTGTCGAAAGGTGTTTGTATTATTGTGACATCATTATTTTTGTCTTGAAAAAAATACTAACGTCTGTATAAAATGCTTAAAAAGTTGAAAATTTAATATATTTCATTATTTCCTATTTTATTTATTTTCATCATTAATTCGATATCACTATCTAAATACAAAATTGAGTCAATTTACACAACAATAATTTGTATTGCATCTAGTCAATACCCAATACGATAATAATAATGTATGACTATGTAAATAGTATGACATATACATTTTTTTTTCAATTTCCAAATTTCTATACCTCCTCTTTTTATGCATTTTCGAATGTGAAATCGATGTACTGCTGTCTTACGTTAATGAAACTGGTAATAGTTATATACCTACTAAATATACATTATTGATTATACAATATTATGATGCTCGAGAGCATGACACATGCGTGTATAGATTGCACAGCTGATACTCATTTTATCATTGATTACATTATTATTGTTTATACTTTATTTCACTAGGTAACGTAATACATCTACATCTGGTCGAAAATATTATTAGTTAGCAGTCTTGTAAAGAACTTGGACGAAGCATTTAAAATACTTTTTTCAAAGTATAGGTATCTGTATTTAAAATTAAATACTAATTTGCAAATATTTTTTTTTTTAGCTTATATATTTTCTATTTTCAATTTAATCACGTAAAAA